CATCTGACAAATCTCTAATGTATTTTTGCCAGATTGCTGTTCCTCCCTTCATTTTCGAGATTGTTGCTACCCAAGGTACCTCAGCAACTGAAACTTCACCCCCAGGGAATAGACAAACAAAATAAACAGCCAACCAAAGGGGTGTCAGAACACAGAATGAAGAGAATCAAGAGATACACAAAATAAGAGGCTTCTAACAAAATAAAGCTATTGTAGAAGTCCTCCCTTAGATCAGCAGAGCTCTCCTATCTTATGCAATAGACAATTAAAGACTGTGGAAACAAGGGCTTGGGAAGCCTGAAAATATCTCTGCTTTCCCCAAACTGCCTGAAATTGCAGTTAAAAATTATAAACCAGTCTTTCAGACTTAGATAAGAACAAAGAATAACAAAAACTTCCTGAAACCAATCAGCTAGGTAGAGCTTAAAAAACAGCCAATTAGTACAAATCAGCCAATTAATATAAATAGTATTATTTGATATCTGAAGTGTTTTTCTGGGAGAGATACAAAATGGTATAAAAATGTTATTTAAATATTGACAGAGCTAAGTTAGACTTTGAACTTGATCTTGAACAAAAATGCACCCCATTTCCCAATAAACAAAATTGTAAGAACAATTAAGGATATTTAAGCATAGCATGCATACACACACACACACACACACACACACACACACACACACACCTTTGCCACATCTATAAAAACGGATGATGATTTGCAAACAAACAAACCAGCAGACAAATGGAAAGAGCACAGAATCTCTGTTAAAACCAATGATATAAAAATGGGCAAGATAATAGATTTGGATAACAGACCCAATAGACTTTAAAAAAAAATATTTACTTTTGAGGACAGGAGGGGCAGAGAGAGAGGGAGAGAGAGACTCCTAAGCAGGCTGTGTGCTGTCAGTACGAAGCCTGATGCAGGGCTTAATACAGGCCTTGATCTCACTGAACCATGAGATCATGACCTGAGCTGAAATCAACAGTCAGATGCTTAACCAACTGACCCACCCAGGCACCCCATCCAGTGGACTTTCTGTGTGAATAACAGGAGTGCTAGACAAAAAAAAAAAAAAAAAAAAAAAAAAAAAAAAAAAAAAAAAAAAAAAGATGGAGAAGAGGAAGACATTAAGTAGTAGAAGGAAGTTTATCTGAGCAGAAGACTCAAATCTTCAAATTAAAATGCTTCACCAAATTCTAGGCAAGATGGATAAAAAAAGACATATTCTACTGTGAAAAAAGGCCATGAACTCAGAATTTTAAAATAAAACTAACAGTTGTAAGAAGATCATTGAAGAAAGGCAAGGAGAAAGTGCTCATAAGCTAAGGGCTGGTGGCCATCATAACCCTGTTTCTAAGCACATAAAAATTATAGACTTAAAAAAATACTTATGTATACTCAAGACCCTCTGAGTTTTGCCTTATTTTTTTAATTAATTTTATTTCTTTAATGTACATCCAAATTAGTTAGCAATATAGTGCAACAATGATTTCAGGAGTAGTTTCCTTATTGCCCCTTACCCATTTAGCCCATCCCCCCTCCCACAACCCCTCCAGTAACCCTCTGTTTGTTCTCCATTGTTAAGAGTCTCTTATGTTTTGTCCCACTCCCTGTTTTTATATTATTTTTGCTTCCCTTCCCTTATGTTCATCTGTTCTGTGTATTAAAGTCCTCACATGAGTGAAGTCATATGATGTTTGTCTTTCTCTGACTAATTTCGTTAGCATAATACCCTCTAGTTCAATCCATGTAGTTGTAAATGGCAAGATTTCTTTCTTTTTGATTGCTGAGTAATACTCCATAGTGCGTGTGTGTGTGTGTGTGTGTGTGTGTGTATACACATATATCACACATCTTCATTATCCATTCATCCATCAATGGACATCTGGGCTCTTTCCATACTTCGGCTATTATTGATAGTGCTGCTGTAAACATTGGGGTGCATGTGTCCTTTTGAAACAACATACCTGTATCCCTTGGATAAATACCTAGTAGTGCAATTGCTGGGTCATAGGGTAGTTCTATTTTTAATTTTTTGAGGAACCTCCAGACCGTTTTCCAGAGTGGCTGCACCAGCTTGCCATCCCACCGGCAATGCAAAAGAGATCCTCTTTCTCCACATCCTCACCAACCTCTGTTGTTGCCTGAGATGTTAATGTTAGCCATTCTGACAGGTGTGAGGTGGTATCTCATTGTGGTTTTGATTTGTATTTCCCTGATGATGAGTTATGTTGAGCATTTTTTCATGTGTCCATTGACCATCTGGATATCTTCTTTGGAGAAGTGTCTATTCATGTCTTTTGCCCATTTCTTCACTGGATTATTTGTTTTTTTTGGGGTGTTGAGTTTGATAAGTTCTTTATAGATTTTGTATACTAACCCTTTATCTGATATGTCATTTGCAAATATCTTCTCCCATTCTGTTGGTTGCCTTTTAGTTTTGCTGATTGTTTCCTTCACTGTGCAGAACCTTTTTATTTTGATGAGGTCCCAGTAGTTCATTTTTGCTTTTGTTTCCCTTGCCTCCAGAGACGTTTTGAATAAGAAGTTGCTGTGGCCAAGATCAAAGAGGTTTTTGAGTGTTTTCTCCTCGAGGATTATGATGGCCTCCTGTCTTACATTTAGGTCTTTCATCCATTTTGAGTTTATTTTTATGTATGGTGTAAGAGAGTGGTCCAGGTTTATTCTTCTGCATGTCGCTGTCCAGTTTTCCCAGCACCACTTGCTGAAGAGACTGTCTTTATTCCATTGGATATTCTTTCCTTCTTTGTCAAAGATGAGTTGGCCATACGTTTGTGGGTCCATTTCTGGGTTCTCTATTCTGTTCCATTGATCTGAGTGTCTGTTATTGTGCCAGTACTATACTGTCTTGATGATTACAGCTTTGTAGTATAGCTTGAAGTCCAGGATTGTGATGCCTCCTGCTTTGGTTTTCTTTTTCAAGATTGCTTTGGCTATTCAGGGTCTTTTCTGGTTCCATACAAATTTTAGGATTATTTGTTCTAGCTCTGTGAAGAATGCTGGTGTTACTTTGATAGGGATTGCACTGAATATGTAGATTGCTTGGGGTAGTACTGACATTTTAACAATATTTATTCTTTCTATCCAGGAGTATGGAATCTTTTTCCATTTTTTTGGTGTCTTCTTCAATTTCTTCATAAGCTTTCTATAGTTTTTAGTATATATTTTTCACCTCTTTGGTTAGATTTATTCCTAGATATTTTATGGGTTTTGGTGCAATTGTAAATGGGATTGATTCCTTGATTTCTCCTTTTGTTGCTTCATTGTTGGTGTATAGGAATGCAACTGATTTCTGTGCATTGATATTATATCCTGCAACTTTGCTGAATTCATGAATCAGTTCTAGCAGTTTTTTGGTGGAATATTTTGGATTTTCCATATAGAGTTTCACGTCATCTGTGAAGAGTAAAAGTTTGACCTCCTCCTGGCCGATTTGGATGCCTTTTATTTCTTTGTGTTGTCTGATTGCAGAGGCTAAGACTTCCAATACTATGTTGAATAACAATGGCAAGAGTGTACATCCCTGTCTTGTTCCTGACCTTAGGGGGATACCTCTCAGTTTTTCCCCGTTGAGGATGATATTAGTGTTGGGTCTTTCATATATGGCTTTTATGATCTTGAGGTATAATTCTTCTATCCCTATTTTCTTGAGGGTTTTTTTTTATCAAGAAATGATGCTGTATTTTGTCAAATGCTTTCTCTGCATCTATTGAGAGGATCATACAGTTCTTGTCCTTTCTTTTATTGATGTGATGAATCACATTGATTGTTTTGTGGATAATGAACCAGCCCTGCATCCCAGGTATAAATTCCACTTGGTCGTGGTGAATAATTCTTTTAATGTATTGTTGGATCTGGCAGGCTAGTATCTTATTGAGGATTTTTGCATCCATGTTCATCAGGGAAATTAGTCTATAGTTCTCCTTTTTAGTGTGTCTTTGCCTGGTTTTGGAATCAAGGTAAGCTGGCTTCCTAGTAAGAGTTTGGAAGTTTTCCTTCCATTTCTATTTTTTGGAACAGCTTCAAGAGAATAGGTGTTAACTCTTCCTTAAATGTTTGGTAGAATTCCCCTGGAAAGCCATCTGGCCTTGGACTCTTATTTTTTAGGAGATTTTTGATTACTAATTAAATTTCCTTACTGGTTATGGGTCTGTTCAAATTTTCTTTATCTTCCTGTTTCAGTTTTAGTAGTGTATATGCTTCTAGGAATTTGTCCATTTCTTCCAGATACCCATTCTATTGGCATATAATTGCTCATAATATTCTCTTATTATTGTTTTTATTTCTGTTGTGTTGGTTGTGATCTCTCCTCTTTCATTCCTTGATTTTATTTATTTGGGTCCTTTCCTTTTTCTTCTTGATCAAACTGGCTAGTGGTTTATCAATTTTGTTAATTCTTTCAAAGAACTAGCTTCTGGTTTCATTGATCTGTTCTACTGTTCTTTTGGTTTCAATAGCATTAATCTCTGTTCTAATCTTTATTATTTCCTGTCTTCTGCTGGTTATGGGTTTCATTGGCTGTTCTTTTTCCAGCTCCTTAAGGCGTAAGGTTAGGTTGTGTATCTGAGATCTTTCTTCCTTCTTTAGGAAGGCCTGGCTTGCTATATACTTTCCTCTTATGACCGCCTTTGCTGCGTCCCAGAGATTTTGGGTTGTGGTGTTATGGTTTTAATTGGCTTCCATGAACTTTTTAATTTCATCTTTAACTTCTTATTTAGCCCATTTATTCTTTAGTGGGATGCTCTTTAGTCTCCAAGTATTTGTTACTTTAAAAATTTTTTTCTTGTGGTTGATTTCGAGTTTCATAGCATTGTGGTCTGAAAATATTCACAGTATGATCTCTATCATTATGTACTTGTTGAGGGCTGATTTGTGTCCCAGTATGTGGTGTTTTCTGGAGAACATTCCATGTGCACTGGAGAAGAATGTATATTCCGCTGGTTTAGGAAGAAATGTTTTGAATATATCTGTTAAGTCCATCTGGTCCAGTGTCATTCAAAGTCATTGTTTCCTTGTTGAGTTTTTGATTAGATGATCTGTCCATTGCTGTGAGTGGGGTGTTGAAGTCCCCTACTATTAAGGTATTACTATCAATGAGTTTCTTTATGTTTGTGATTAACTGATTTATATATTTGAGTGCTACCACATTTGGGCATAAATGTTTACAATTAGGTATTATTGGTGGATAGACCCCTTAATTATGATATAATGCCTTTCTGCATCTCTTGATACAGTCTTTATTTTAAAGTCCTGATTGTCTGATATAAGTGTGGCTAAACTGGCTTTCTTTTGTTGGTTCTCCATCCCCTTACTTTCAATCTGAAGGTGTCTTTAGGTCTAAAGTGGGTCTCTTGTAAACAGCATATAGATGCATCTTGTTTTCTTATGCATTCTGTTACCCTATGTCTTTTGATTGGAGCATTTAGTCTATTGACATTTAGAGTGAGTACTGAAAGATATTAATGTATTGCCATTATATTGCTTGTAGAGTTTGGTATTCTCTGGTCCTTTCTAGTCTTTGTTGCTTTTTTTTTTTTTTTTTTT